AGATCCTCCCGGAGAGGCCGAGGTGCGCCTGGCCAGGCGGCTTCATGCAGCGACAGTTCGGGGCCATGCTCCAGCCCGGGGTCAACAAATTCTCCCTGAGGATGTTTGGCAGCCAGAAAGCTGTGGAGCGGGAGCAGGAGAGAGTTAAGTCAGCCGGGTTTTGGATTATCCACCCCTACAGCGACTTCAGGTAAGGGGGCCATGGTGCTCCAGGCTGTCGCAGGCATGCTCCTTCTCTCGGCCCTACCTCTCAGCCAGAGTTAACTTACTTTCCTTTCTCACACTGGAAGCTCCAAGAGAAGTGAGGCACCTCTAGGCTCCCAGACATCCCCAGACCCCCTTCCTGCACAGTGCAGGGAACTTTCCTCTGTGTTCTGGGCTGCAGACCTTGGCCGCATTAGAGGCTGGCTGAAAAGGTGTTCCGAGCCTGGCCTAGCCCTGCCACCTTAAGCCATACATCTCTTCTGGGCCACGGAGTCAGTGACCATCCTAGAGACAGTCTATTCAGCTTGAAGAACAGGGCCATGAAGGGAGACAGACCTCTTGGCAGCTGGGCCAGCTCCTTGGGTGCTGACCCCCAAGCTGTTAATATCTGCCTCTGTTGCCCTGGGGAGCTATAGCTGGAAAGGGAGAGCTGGACCTCTGGAGGACAGAGGTCACTGGGGCCTCGTGCCCAGGATGAAAGTTCTCTGCATCCACCTTAACTCTGGGCCCAGTCCCTCATACCAAGTGGTAGGCCAGCAGTAGATACCCTGGGTAGCTGGTATCCAGACTGGCAGGACAGGATGACCTTGCTCACAGTGGTCAGTGAAGATGCCCTATACCCTGACTGATGAGCAGCTGTCATGTGACCCCAAGTTTATCCAGTGTAACGTCCTCCTTCCAGTGGCCCAAGTTCCAGCAACTGCTAGGTCTTTCATGGGTCAGCCGTGAGTCCCCAAACAAACGGTGTGACTGCCAGTCAAGGAGAGGGACCCTGCCCCCTCTGCCATTACCTCCGTCAGATACCCCTGCACAGCAGGTACCACTCCGGGCCTGTGCAAAAAGAGAGAGTGGTGATTGTCTCTGAAGTTGAGATCAGGGATTCCCCTACCTCAATCAAGGTCTTGGGTCCCCCAGTGCTCCCCTGGGCTTTCTTGATACACAGGATTAAAGTGAGGGTCTGAAAAAACAGCCACCCTTTTGAGCTGGGTTTAATTCATTCTCTCTCTGAGCCCTGTCCTGTATTGAGCTCTCTTATCTGCCTATCCTGCTTGTCTCCACTATAAATGAGCATTTTGTCAACTCAGAGCCCTCCTTGCAAACTCTAGGGAACTAGGTTTGTTATGAGAACAAAGCCATTTCCATCCAATGAGAGAGATTTTTCATGCTGGGAATGACCAGTCAGGTAACACTTAAAATAGGTGGTGACCAGAGGGCCTCTCCCCTTTTTTTTCTTTTCTAAAATTTTTATTTATTTATTTGTTTTTTGAAGGACTACTTTTCCTAACCTTAATGTCCAAAGTTCCCATCCCAGAAGATCTTCACATTGTGTGAACAAATGTGGGCCCTCCCATCAGGAACTGTGGCTGGTTCCCAGTGCCAGCTTCCTAAAGTGTGGCCTCCCCTCCGGTCAGTACTGGGACTTGAGGACTCCAGCCTGAGCCAGGGAGGAGTAGGCAATCCTCTGGGTGTCCTGGGTTTCTCCTCTTCCCTCTGAACTCCCTGGTGGTGGTGGGAGGTAAGCTGGGCCAGTATCAACCAGTTGAGATTGTTGAGGGGCCCTCCTTTCCCTTGCTCAGCTCCCCACCCTCTTTGTTGTCTGAAAGCCTCTGTTCAGAGTTCTCATCACCGTCCTGGGGTTGGGGACTGTGAGGGACCAACCCCAGGCACACCTGACCTTCATCAACAATAGGCATTGATTGAACATTTGGGCACTGGGCTGTGCCTTCCCAATCTCTCCTTACCCTGCATGGTGTAGAACTAGGACTGGGTTGACTGCATCAATGGGAACCTCCCCGCCTTCCTGATCTTCCTCTATCCATCTTAGCATGTCTATCTGCAGTCCCCTGCTGCAGAATCTTCCACTGTCTGCGGGCCACCTGGGACATGGTGGAGGGGGAGGTTGATGGGGTTAGAGAGGGGTGGATGCAGCAAGATTGAAAAATGGGCAACGTAAAAAGTCAGACTGGGCTTTGAATTTGGATTTGTACAATAAGCAACAGGGACCAGTAGCTGGAAGCACACATCCTCTGTGTGCAGCCTGGTAGTTGTCTGCTGCTGGGTGGGGTGTGAGGAAAGAAATCCAAGAAAGACCGTCTGTGTGAGCTTCTGGAGGAGCAGTGGTCAGGCCTCTTCTGTCTCCAGGCCAGAGCAGCTGATGTCGTTTCAGCAGGTCCAAGAGGCAAAGACCTAGCTAAGTCTTTAAGCTTAGAAACTGCAACACTCAACCCAACCTCACCCACTGCCCCTAACCCAGCACCCAAAGCCTCAGTCCCTCAAGTTGCAGCCACTAATGGCGCTAATCCCATTGCCTAGCTCAGGCTTTATAGGAGCTTCTGCAAGCATTGCCCGGGCCAGTTGAGGATTTATTCATCATTTTGCTGGGCAGAATGCATTGATCCAGCAGCATTGGTTTAATAAAGAATCGCTAGCAAACCGTGATAGATTGAGTTTGTGGTTTGGAGTTCAGAGCTTACTATCATGGATTGCTTCCGACATCTCCTATTCCTGGGGGAAGAAGGTTGGTACCTTTTCTAAGGGCTGGAGAATGGGCTGTGCTCTGAGGTACCCACATATTTATTGGCCATGTTCAATGATAGGCTTTTGTTGGCTACCTCTGCTTCTCCTCACCCCCCGCCCTCACCTCCACACACCACGCCCTGGCTACTCCCATGGCACCTCCAGGCTCCTAAGGCTTGTCTAGCCTCCCCTTCCCTCCTCTTCTACTACTCACTTGCCTTTTGAAACTTATATTTAAAGTTTGGTAAGGGAAGAGGCCAGGACACACAGCCCCTCAGGGCATTGTCCCCAGGCTCCCGCACAAGGTAGGTTGGGCTCTTGGGTCCTGGGCGGGTCCTTCCTTCTACATGAGCCATGTCCTGGAAGTTGGGCTTGGCAGTGGGAACCTAGAATAAATAAAACATAGCATCTACATAATCTTGCTTTTTCCAAGAGGAGAGAAAAGGATTGGGAACCCCATGTGAAGATGTACCTGGTTTTATTCCCAGAAGTTGGTCAGGCTTTCAAGGGTCAGGCTTTGAGGGGATGGAGAGAGGGGTGGGGGATTGTAGGCCTGGGGGTGTGTATTGATGTCTGAGCAGGAGTCTGGGAATGTGCGGGTGGACATGGGGCTGGCAGGGAAGTCCTATGTGGGATGACAGTTCTGGGGGTACTTCTGTGCTCCAAGCTCTATCTTGGCCTTGAAAATGGAGGCAGGCAAGCTTGGCCCTTCTCATCCCTCTGCCCCTTCCCTCTGCTAGCCTGAGCCTTCTGAAGCTGTGAGGAAGGGAAGGGGAAGGGGAAGGAAAGAGAAGAGAGGGTCCTAGAGGGTCCTTTTCTTGAGGCAGAAACAACTGGGCCCCAAAATCATGGAAGCTGGGCCAATGGCCTCCTGTGCTGATAACTGGCCCTAGGCACTGCCATTGCCCACCTCACATCAGCTCCTCATCCCTGTCTGCTATGGGGCCCTGCTCAGGTTATGAGCCTTGTCTGAGCCTCGGTTTTCACCTAGGAAAATGGGAATCCCATTACCTGTTATCATGTCAGACACAAATTGTACAACTGTGGTCACCCGTAGAGGTGAGAAGCTCCAGCGCGCTGTCAGAGAGCAGTGATGCTGTGGTGAACCACACAGCCCCTGTCCGCACTGCTTCCTTTCCTTACTCCTGCGCAGACTAGACGGGCCTCTCTCCTTGGCTCAAGCGAGTTGTTCTGAACCCGAATCAGAGGCCTAACTGAGAACCTGTTGGGAATCACAGCCTCTATCCAGAAAGATAAATGTACATCCAGACACACAATATCACACTCAATTTCTGGGATTTCTGGACCCCCTAAGTTGAAGACCATCTAGGTTGTGAACCTCACTCTAGGCCATCCCAGAAGAGAGTCCTGGCCTGGGGAGCAGGTGCTCGCTTCCTAAAGCTGGCTTTCCCGGTGCCCTCTGTAATCTGAGGCTTGGGCCTCCCATTGGCAGCAATGCCTGAAGAAGAAAAGGTGCTCCACTTGGGGACTAGTTTCTGTTCTGTTTCCTCAGCCCCACACCTATACCTCTCCCTTTCAACCATGGGAAGGACTGTTCAGGTAGGAGTTAGTGAGGCAGAAGGCAGCAGCTTTGGCTCTGGGGCTGGGGGGTTCTGCGGCCCCTCCTGGAGTAGACCTTCCTGGGGCCATTGCCCAGAAATGCAGCTTCTGCTATCAGTGTAGAAAGCCAGGCTGAAAGTGCTGCAAGCCGTGGTGCTAGTGGAAGGGAAGGGCACCTTGGGACAGAGTGGAATTCCAAGGTGAGCTGCCTGGGTGGTGCTGTTGGCTGGCACAGTGGGCATCGGGATTCTCTCGTGATGAGGATATGCTCCACCTGATAAGACTGGGGCTAGTGGAGGGTATGCTCAGGCTGAAGTCTCCCTGGATGCTGATAATGCACAGAAACCCCATGGGGCAGGACCCTTACATTGCTGGGTGGGAGGCCTGGACTCCAGGTTCTCCCTGTTGCAAGGCTTCAGGCCCTGGTTTGGTTTCTACGTAATTAGGCAGGGGCCTCGCCCCTGTCCAGCCATGCCCCATTTGCTCCCTTAGCTGTTGCGAGCCACTGCAGGTGGCCTGCCCGCCCCCCCAAACAATTTTAGGCTGTATGCCTGTCCATCTTCTCTCCTCTCCCATGCTTTAGGACCCCAGGTCTTCTGGGATGCCCTCTCAGGTCACTGCATCCACCATCATTCCTCTCCCTCCATGGCATTTGAATGGAGCTTGTGTTTATTATAATGCCGTGCTTCTCACACTGTCATGTCATCCAACTCACCTGGGGATCTGGTTAAAATACAGATTCTGACTCCTTAGGTCTGGGGCGGGGGCTGAGATTCTGCATTTCTGATAAACACCCAGGTGATGCGATGCTGCTGGTGCTCAGAACATGCTTGTAGTACTGAAGTTCAGACCCTGTGCTTGTTCTGTGCTTATCCTGGGCTCCCTGACTGAGTTCCCTGAGGGCACTGT